TCTTTCCTCTCATTTGATCGAACTCATCCGGTTACAGGAAAAATAAATAGAAAGCAATAATATTATAATGTTACACTCGGCTGATATCGTTAAATTTAGATCACATTTCGGTCAAAATCGTAAGTTAATTTATAAGAGAAATTGGTGTATTTCTGCACTAATGCCAGCCATTTTTGGTATGACTTAAGGGTGGTATACCCACTAATCTTGCATGGGTTCAATTAATTTTCGTCTTAAATGTTTAATTCAGAGTCAAGTGGTAGAGAAAAAGTTAGGAAAAACTCTTTTAAGTTTTTACATCCACATTCAGATCGTGTTCACACAAAATCCAGGAAACTATAAGTGTCAAGTTTTATCGAATTTGGACTGTGAACTGTTGCCCGATATATATTTTTTGAATTAAGCAGTGGGTGGTGCCTCGCCAAACTACAAGCTTTTTGCTCTCCTATATCTTTTCTTTTATTGCAAACATTCCAAACAAATATGACGGTTATCGTTGTTTTCAAAATTTGAGTAATAAGAGTGGTGAGCGTGAGCTTGATCTGATTTCATCCGTTTTGCCTTATCGTTTGTAGTTTTGTTCCAAGCTTCATCAAAATACCTCTATTCTTAATTGAGTTATCGTTTACATAGATGGACAGACATACTCGAATGTATATTATAGATTCATCTCGTCATTCCGTGAATATAACCGTTAGCTAAACTAACCTAATTAGAAAAATTTATTAATTAATTTTCTAAATCATTTTGGATGTTAGTTCAACGCCAGGACATATTTTCAGATAGGAGGAATAATACTTAAGCCTAGAATTAAGTAATACAAAATGTAAATGTTCAAGACTTTGGCGTAACCAAGTAAGCAGATCCTTTTTCTTGTTTAAATCAAAATTTAGCCTTCGCCTCATAATTTGTGCAATCCAAAAATTAAGCTAGAAGACGACTTCCCATTCGAAATGCCACCTTTTCTAACAGAGCAAAAGCTCGGCCACCCTATTCCTATTATTTATGCCAGCATTTTAACTGCGTTCCATTTCTTACAATTAATTAAAATGTTGAATACTTCAGACTGATCTTCTTTAACCTTTACGCGGTATGCAGCGCGATGATCTACAGTGATCCACAAGTAAAAAAGTAAACACATACTACATATGGACATTTTATACACATTAATTAAAGCAAAATTATTTTATATCCAAAACACACACTCACACATACACATACATCACCATCGCATAAAGTTCGAACTGTCACACTGAAGCTCAGTTGAAAGCTCGCAATTAGAATAATTGGAATATTTTCGAATAAAATTTCTTTCTCAACTACACATTTGACCTGAAGATCACAAAAAGCGAAGTATGTACTCGTATGTATATATTTGTAATATATTATATTAACAAATAAATATATGAACGGCATTAATAACGTTAGATCTGAGCAGAAATCTGTATGTGATATGATTCAAAAGCAGCAGAAACTGAGAAATGATGGTGAGGAAGAGTAAATATTATTGAAATAATTGGCGACTTAGATATCATTGTACATATTTATATACATACATACAAGTATTTATTCGTTTAAGTAAGAGTCAGTGGCTTGTAAGCGTAACGAATTTAGCTGTTTTGTTTTTGTTTTTTTTCTCCAAAACCGTTTGTAAATTCTCGCTAATAAAATTATTTATGGAATTTCGTTAATTTTATGATTTCTTTGAACCGACACATTTGCAGAATCAGAAAAAAAATAGCTAAGAAAATAAAGATTTGAAAAAATAAAATCTCATAAAGCACGTAGCACATACGTACATACGTATTTACTTAGCTACGCGTGACGAGAGCGTCAAATGGCGTGAAAGCAGCACACATTCAATGTGAAAAAGTGTTTTATCAAAGAAAAATAAATGAATAAAAAATAATATTAATAAATAAAGGCAAATAAATAATAATAAATAGAATTGATCACACTGATCGTGCGGCTGAGACATGTGAGGCCATCAATTGTCTGACGCTCGCTGCTGAGCTTGTTAGATTTTCAAGACCTAAATTAAATATATTTAAGTGCAAAAGCTTCCACCATTTATTTGTTTTTTTTTTTTTTTTTTTTTTTTTTTTTTTTTTTTTTTTTTTTTTTTTTTTTTTTGTATTTATTTCCTTATTTATTTATTTTTTATATTGGCTCGCGGTTACCAATCAAATGTTCAGCTTGTTCGTTGATAATTAGAAGATATGTACATATATATAAATGTATGTATGTACACGCTGATGGACAAACAAATCAAAGTATCAGTAAGTAAATCAATCCAATCACAGTGACAATTAGTATAGACACATACACACATACACGCATACATATACGTATTGAGCAGCAGCTTTTCGAATTGTTTGTGACCGATCATCAGTGATCTTGTTTTCCTCTTATTTTCACAACTAATACAATGTACATACATATGTATGTACGAGTATGCACTCGCATAGAAAAGCATATCAGATCAATCAAAGAAATGTATACGGTAGTGTATTGGAAATTGGGTTGTCTGTTGATCAAGCAGTGTTGCAGTGATTTGCGCTAAAAAAGGGTGTCCACTGACAATGATCGAGAGTTTCAACAATAAGTAGAAAATTTAAAGTGATACATACGCACATATTGAAGAAGAGTGAAATTTGCTGCTTAGCGAACAAAAGAAAGGAAAAAAGTCAAGAAGCAACCAAATAGACAAGAAAATAAATAAACGTTTTTTTTTTTATTATTTTAAAAGCGAGCATTTAGTTGTGTAAATAATGTAATTAAAGGCAGGCAATTAGTAGTGATAGTAGTGAAGTGAGTTATTAAGGCTCTTTTATAATACTTCTACTCACTGGTAGTTTATCGCGCTCAGTTGGGAAATTTGAAAAAAAGAAAAATTTATTTAAAATTTGAGAACATTATATATTTTAACGTAACGTTGCCAAATCGAATTTTGTGTAAAAAAATGAGTTAAAAAATAGCCTACTTCCATTTTTTTACCACAAAAATACCGTAATCATGTCTGTCCCACCGTAATCATGCTTGTCCCACCGTAATCATGCTTGTCCCAGCATGGAGGGTTGCCTTTAAATTTCGGTAGTAGAGTGCAATACAAATCTTAGTCATTGAAAACTTCTTTATTGTTTTTCAAAATACACTTCATTAAAATCTATTTCTTTTTGAATGCGTTTTTAACAATTGTCACTCTGATCAAGATATTGCCATCATTCTGAGAGCATCAACCGTCTCTCTAGGAATGGAAAAATATTGAGCGCTCAGTTTATTTTCCTATCGAATGGAACACGTCTCGACTATACGGTGGACGCTTCATAAAATCATTTTTTGAGTGCTCAAAAATGCAGTTGTTTCGCTCAATTTGTGAGCCCTTGCATTCTCGTGGTGAAGAGTGATCCGTCATCAGCGGTTGGTTTTCCAGATTTTAAAAAAAGACAACTGCCAAAAAACGATTTTTTATCACTCATAATTTACTGTCGAGCTTTAATTGGATATTGTTCATCTTTAAACATCCATACCGTCGACTGTTGTTTACTTTCGAACTCATACGGGTGCGTTACAAAACACCGGTGTCGTATTTTTTTACAATTTTCTCGAACAGTTGACACAAGCTTTTTTTTGGAATTTTTTTGAAAGTTCGCTGCTCCCACCAATGCTTATAGATGAATCTGAATCTCTCGATAGGTCACATGACAATCTTACCAAATCAGTTACGTACATCTTCAATAGTTTCCGAGACCATAATTGATTTTGAATGACCTTTACGAAATTCGTCTGGGAGTGATCTACGTTCATTGATTTCGCCATACCATCGATATACACAGGTCCCTGATGAAGCTTCATCGCCAAAAATTGAACTAAGTTCATCGATGCGCTGTTGCTGATTTAATCCACGCGGAAAGTTGTAAAAAATAATTGCGCGAAAATGTTTGCGATTTAATTCCGTTTTTGGCCGAGATGAATTTTTTGAATTACGGTAAACTTACACAAAAGGACATAAAATATGTCAAGCTTTACGATAAAATTATCAGTTGCTAGATTGCAGATAGCCTAATCCCAAAATACATATAATAGTCAACGCTCTTATGTACCAGATTTAGTATCCCTACGACTTTTGCTCTCTCAAGATTAAAACTACGATATTTTAGAAAAGTAAGGAAATGAAAAAGGTATTAAATCCGCTATACTTTATTAACTAAATGTGCAATAAAAATCCTTTTTTTTTTGCATCAAATATAACTTGAGGAGTTGATAAAATCGACTTTTCCAGGGAACAGAGGACAGAGTTTTATACATATAATTCTCATGGTCTTGTATGAACACAAGGTGAATATGCACGTAACGAGCGTAGTATGGCTTGCTTTTCACTCTCTACCTCCTTTCGACGGATATCAACGAAAGTAGCAAACCTACTAAGAGCTAAGAGCCTATCAAAAATAGGTAACCTATGCTCACAAACAGATCTACCTCCCACAAACACCTTCTAATAATCAGTTCCAAATCGAACTTAGTTTTCCTTACATGTTAACTTTATGTTTACTTATAAGTAGAGAGTTGAGTTGAGTTGATGCGGCTGCTGGTCAAATCCCAGCACACTTAGGTCGCTGAGGCTGCTGCCTTCACCTTCTCAAATGATCGAACCATTTTGTGTACCTTATAAAGCCGACAGGATTTCCAATGTTCACTGAGGCCAACTCAGCGAGACAGACGAAGAAGTGTTTCCCAAGAAACTTGTGTCACGCTTATGCCAAGGCTGGACAAAAGCAGAGGTAGTGCTTGATGGTAGAAGACCTCTACATCGTCTCTACAGCCGGGGCAGAAACCGTTAGAGCAAAAGCCTATCCTACTCCCGTGAAACCCCATTAAACAGTGTCCAGTTATTATATTTTAACTTATAAGCAAAAATTAATACATTTTATATTTGAATTCACACAAAAAAGGTTTGACGATAGATCACAACAAATGTTTTCTTCTTCTTCCCTTTCCAGGGCCAGGCTTTGGCATTAACACGCGCTGCCAATGCCGCCGCGGCCGCAGCTGCCGCATCAGTTAATGCAGCCGCCGCTGCTGCAGCCCAGGGAGGCAAACCCAACAGTGCAGCAAGTTTAGCTGAATTGGCATTGAAGAAGGAGCACTCCTTATCACCACCACATAGCGTGAGCAGCAACAGTGGCACAACAGCTGGTCCAACAGCCGGCTGCATAGATGATGGCGGTGGTGGTGGTGGAGTGGTTGCTGGGAATTACCGCCGACGTCCCTCACTACAAGGCGTACAAGATAAATTGGCACAATTGCAAATGCAACACCAGCAACAGCAACAGCAGCATCAACTTCTACAACATCATCACCACCACCAGCAGCAGCAGCAGCAACAACAACAGCTACAACAACAACAACAACTACATGAACAACATCAACAACAATTACGCGAACAATTGGCCGTCCACGATGAGGCGCGTAGTCCGCGTTTCACTGGTCTACCAGTCGGTTTAGGCGCCGCCGCTGCTGCTGCGGCCGCCGCAGTCGCTGGTAATGGTAGTGTGGGTCGTTCACGTTCAACCGATGCGAATTCATCACCCAACACCACAACACATCTGAGCACAGACAACGAACGTCATATTTCCTCAACGCCTTCTAGTCAAAACGCTTCATTGGCTGCCACACCGAAGTTGTTGGAGCGTGATGAACGTGGTGGCAGCAGTGGCGGTGTTACTAGTGGTGTTGGTGTTGTTAGCGCCAGTCCATCTTTAGTTGGCAGCATAAGTTGTTTACCGCCAGCTGCGTTGAATGCTGTAGCCAGTAGCATGGCAAGTGGGCCCTTGCATCCCGGTGTTGGTGGCGTGACCACGCAGGCGGAACAGCTGTTATCGTCGTCGTCGACACCGTCCGCAATGGAGAGCCGCGGACGGGAGTTTGATCCAGCGAAAGTAAATTGTGAGTACAAAAACAGTTATTATTTTTAGTCTAGCAAAGCTTACACTTTTCATTAGAGAAGTATAGAAAAGAGTGCTATGTAGGTAGCTCTTCTGAGAAGTTGCTACTAAATAATGTCACAGCTTTATTATGAAAATTCGAAGTAACTAGAACTCAAATCAAATGAAACAAAATTCAGGGCATTTAAATTAAAAAATTTGTTCGAGTTCGAGGTTTTAAATTTATGAAATTCCAATAATTTTCCTAAAATTTTAAAATTTAAACAAGTCGAATTTTAGTGAGCGAAGTCTTTTTTAAACTTTCAACCAATCTTTCCAACTGCCAATCTGAATCCTAAAGCATCTTAAAGTGGTGTTTAACCTCTATTCTCCCCGCTTTCTCTTCTTGTTTGTTAATCTATCTGCTGCTGAAGACAACTGAACCACCAAATCTTATTCAGACTACAACTATGTAAGCTCTAATACTTCAAATTCGACTTATATCTTACACACACATAAAATAATTCCACACACACACGCATATATATATATATATAGAAACACAAAGTAAAACATAGAAACATCCAGTCTAACCGGATTTCCTCTGCTTGCTTATCCACAAATTTAAATGCACACTTATCCCTCAATTATAATGACTTTGAATATATGTACGACTTTGCAATTGTTTAAATGAGTAGGTCTGCCTGCTTGTGTGTGCGTGGAAGTTTATAATCCCTTTCTGCTTTTACTTTTACCTTTGCGCTTAGCCTATAGTCAAATATATTCTGCTTTGCCTTACCCTATTATTATTATTTATTTCCTAATGCTTTTAATGCTTGCTCAAGGATTTAGCAGCTCAGTCGCTACCCCTACCCACTCTTGAGTGCTCGTTCCTCCACTTTATTAAAATAATAACATATCACACTCCTTTGCTCAAATTAAAAGCGTTTTGTGTTAACTTGCCGTGGAGGGAATGGTGAAAATGTAGTTTTAAATAAAGTGTGGGTCTCTCGGGAGTTTTTTCAACGTTTTATGCCTGATATACAAAGAATAAATCCTTTAATTCGTTGTAAGAAAGGTTTATCAAGGAGATTGATGGAATATACATTTAAAAAAAAAATGATAAGAAAAAGGATATGTTCAACTTCCGACAAGCTGAGAGGTTGTGAGCATGAAATATGAAGAATTTCGAAATATGAGTCTTGGTAGAGCTTGAAACTACTTACAAGGCCATTTACATTCTATATTAGGTATAGTAAAAAGAAATACATTATTTTTCCAATAGACGGCGTTAATTATCTGTATCTCGCGTTGTACAAGTCCGATCCAATGGCGTTAGAGAGATGACATTTCGTACTAAAAACATTTTCTGACAGTTTTGGGATTTGTTGATTCAGTTTTGTTTGAGCGTGAGCGGGAAAGATGGACACGCTATATTTTACAGTTTTTCTTCGATAAGGGCGAAAAGGAAAAGCATCTATGGTCCCGATACTCTTAGAGTCAGTTATGCATAGTTTTGGTTTCATTCCGGAGTGGAAGGCCAATTGCCAAAAAGGTCGAAAAAATCATGGACATTGTCGAGTTCGACCGTCATGTAAGCACTGTTTCGATTGCCCAAGAGCTAAAGATTGCTTAAAAAACCATTTGGATCAATCATTTGAATAAGGCCGGATAAAAGTAAAAATTAAATACTTGAAAATCGCTTCACCGCCTACAAAGTTCCAGTTATATTATATAACAAAATATTCAATTCATTTAAACAAATATGCTTTTCACTCACTAGGTTAGGTTAGGTTGTAGTGGCTATCGATCTTTAGGCCCTCTAAGACCACAAAAACTTAACAATTTTGAGTCTCTAATAAAACTCATTACATCCATGACTTTGACGTCAGCTATCTTGGATATCACATCAATGTGTTCTTTATTGAAAAGAATCTTACGCTTTACAATTTCTCTCGATATTCGTTTAACCAGGAACCCACGTCAGAGACAGTCTGTTTGGCCATCTCCTGTAAAGATCGGTGACAGTGCTGATGTGGAGTTTAGCGTAAGCGAGCTCAGTGCTTTTATTGCTGCCTGACTATCGCTGGAAATGAAAATATTTGCGAGTATATATCATATCTTAAACGCTGGCTCCAATTTGCACTGCAATGGTCCGATGGCCTGAGCGAGAGTTATATTGGCTCTTCAAAAAACTCAAGAGACCACTTCGAAAACACCGTTTTAAGTCGATTGAGGAGCTAAAACTTGAATCGGCGCGCTCTCTGAAAGCCATACCAGAACGTGACTATTTGACATGCTTCGATAACTGGAAAAAGCGTTGGCATAAGTGCATTGCATGGGCAGGGGACTATTTGGAAGGCGACGAAATCAATGTAGAAGATTAAATAAAGATTTTTAATTTCACAAACAAATTCACCTTACATTTCGCTCACAGTATATATGGAACAAAAATTTCAAGGCAATTCTGGGTCTTAGATCTCTTAGAGTTTTAGTTTAACAGTATTTAAAAATTTTGCATGAAAACTTAATATTTGTTTTTTCTTCAATTAACCTACTTTTCTCTCTCTGCATTTACCACTTCAGTTCGAAATCTAAGCGCTCACCCAAAATTATATAACATTAAAAGATTCACTTTCCATTTTACGTGTACGTTAATCCATACACATGCTCTTCTACCTGGCGTTACTGTTGTCGGCGTCGTCTATTAAAATTAGAGATTTTAAACAATGTTATTGGTTTCAGCGTTAATCCCAACACAATACTCGTACATGCATAGCTGTATCCATATGTGGTTAGTGTAGTTTTGTAGAACCGTTGTAAAAATTGGTGACCTCAAAATCTAGATATGAATTTTGTGTTAATACTTTCACCACACCACACACCAATGCAATCTCAAAGTACAAAAATCAATATTCTCCTTTATTTAAATGCACGTTTTTAAACAAATCCTTAAAATCCTTTAAAAATGTCAATTTAAAATAAATTCAATAAAATGCTTTTACATACATTCAAACCTATGTAAAACAGAAGAATTAAAGGCTTTACCCATAAATACATATCGTTTAGGATTTTTGGCAAAATTTTTAATTCCGATTTTTTGTTTGCTTTACGCTGTTTATTTGGTTTGCATTGGTCAGAAAGCATACTTACATGCACATTATGCTTTATTAAATTTATACACACGCTTTTAATGTACATGGATATATGTATATCTATATATGAAAATGTGTATGCGTATGTGCTTGTGTTTGCTTCGCAACCGCAATGTTACAATTTTCATTAGCGTGGCCGATTAATCCCTTTAATCCCTAAGCCGTTTTTGTATTATTTCCATACCATCGCTTTGTAGCTTCCAGCGATTTTATACAAACGAACGTACGAGGTTGCAATTATTTCAATTTTTAAACAAACATACATACATTTGTACATCCGTTTACTTGTGTATGACGTAGCAGAGAAATAATTAAGTTCATCCTCGTGGATTTGGTATATGTTTAGTGGTACGTCTGGATGACTGTGTGTGGTGTGCTGCTTATTGGCGGTACATAAAGGGGTTGAAATTGAAAATTGCCTTTTTGGCAGCGTAAAATCAGATATAAATATTTATCTGTTTTAAATATGCTTTATTAAAGTATTTACTCGCATTTCATGCAGAATTTGAAAACAGCCAAGATTTGTTTGTAGAAAGCTATCTTCTGCTTATACAGGGGTTTCCAATAAGAGTTTTATTTTGATTTTTACAACAAAAGATATATGTAAATAATCAGATATTCATTTCAATGTAAAGAGAAAGATTTGCCGTTAATAATAATGGAAAACATCATCAGACCGTCACAGTTACCTTTGAAGGAAAGTATCCTTTTTTTTTTGAAATTCTATCTTTGAGGTCTTGAATCAACGTTGGCATGTTGTTGTAGACCTTTTTTCACGTGGCCCCAAAAGAAGAATTCGCAAGGTGTTAAATCATAGGATGTCGGTGGCCAATTGCGATATCACCTCGTCGATCACGGTCCGGAAACTTTTTCCGTATAATATCGATGGTTTCGTTGATGGTGTGGCACATGTGAACATCTTCTTGACAGTAAACGTTTAATCATCTCTTGGTAGCGCAATCCGTTTACCGTAACTGTTGCTCCAGCCTCATTTCCAAAAGAATAATGTTTTTCACATTTTCCACGAATTTCTGTATTGCAGAAAATTATTTAAAAATTGCTCATGTAAATTTCAAATAAGTTGTTAAGAATAAAATAATTTTTCGAAACATCTACTTTTTGTGCCAACATTTCACAAACAAACTAAACACTTAATTGAATGTGCATACCACATGAACACCAAACTGAGTAAAGCAATTTACTACTTAATTGTCTCAGCCGGTTTTCCAGTTTGAACACACTCTAAAGTAGCAAATCCGAACTCATTTTCGCCTTATTTTTTCCTCTAATTTACTATAAGCTCTCAAATGCAATACCAAGAGGTGGCAATATTTTGTATCGAAAGACTAAAGCCTCGAGCAACGAACTATACGAGTATGTGCTCATGGAGTTAAAGTCACAGTTATCCTAGCAATTTTGCACATTGCCACGAATTGTTGGCCTGCCTTAATCTGTAGTCAAACAAATTCAGTAGCAAATATTCCGAAATGAAACTCACATGACCATACTTGTGGGTACAGAGATACAAACATACATATATGCCAGCATTTGAGTGAATATGTATATGTGTAATTGTGGTTATGCGAAAACGTCAAGCCATTGCAGGAAGTGTGTCACCATTTTTGACTACACATATGCATACATGCACGTATAATATCATTGCGCTTGTATACTATTTATTGATAGAGACAAATAAAAGTTGATTTTTTGTGCAATTTTCGCTAACAAATGAAAGTGATATAAAATTATATTAGTTTTATAAAGATTTTTAATTTTTTTTTAATTTAGTAACTCATTATTATATGTTTACATAAATATATAAATATTACAATTATAATTTTAGGTTATTGTTAAATTCTCATCTCTT